CGAACCCCTCCCCCCCCCCCCCCCAGCTCATCATGAAAAGGGGGGGGGGTCACTACCGGTTCGAACCCCTCCCCCCCCCCTCCGGAAAACCGGGGGGGGTCACTACCGGTTCGAACCCCCCCCCCTCGAAAACCGAGTGGGGGTGCGGACAGTGGTGGGGACGGTGTTGGTGGGGACAGTGGTGAGGGGATAGCGGGACAGTGGTGGGGACAGTGGGACAGTGGGACAGTGGTGGGGACGGTAGTGGTGGGGACAGTGGTGGGGACAATGGTGGGAACAGGGGGGGACAGTGGACAGTGGTGGTGACGGTGGTGGTGGGGACAGTGGTGTGGGGACAATGGGAATGAGGTGGAAACAGTGGGACAGTGGAGGGTACAATGGTGGTGGGGACAGTGGTGAAGGCGGTGGCGAGGACGGCGGTGGGACAATGGGACAGAGGTACAGTGGGGACAGTGGTGGGGACAGTGGGGACAGTGGTGGGAACAGTGGGACAGCTCAGTGGGACAGCGGAGGAGTCAGTGGGACAGTGGGGACAGTGGGGATAGTCGGGCAGTGGTTGGGGCCGTGGAGACAGTGGGGAGAGTGGAACCGTGGTGGGAACAGTTCTGGGGACAGCGGGGACAGTGCGACAGTGGTGGGGCCACTGGTGGGGACAGTAGGGGCGGTGGTGGAACCAGTGGGGACAGCGGTGGTGAGGACAGTGGTGCTGGGAACACCAGTGGGGGATGTGATGCGGACGGTGGTGGGGACCGGGAGTCGTTTGCTGGCGGTGAGTAGGGGGGGGGAAGGGGGGGGGGGGGGGGGGGTTCGAACCGGTAGTGACCCCCCCCGGTTTTCCGGATCCGGAGGGGGGGGGGGGGGGGGGGGGGGGGGGGTTCGAACCAGTAGTGACCCCCCCCGGTTTTCGAGCGGGAGGGGGGGGGGGGGGGGTTAGGGGAGGGGGGGGGTTTTGCCGGGGGAAGGGGGGGGGGGAGGGGTTCCAGCAGGGGGGGGGGGATTTTCGGAGGGGGGGGGGGGGGCGACCCCCGGGCTCCGGAGGAAAAGGTTGGCAATTTTCCACAGTAAAGCGGCGGTGGATCACGCTCTCTCTGATATGTCATGCTGCGATGTGCTATGCTAAGCTGTGCTATGCTATGCTATGCTAAGCTGCGCTATGGTATGCTATCATATGCTCTGTTATGCTATGCTATGATGCGCTACGCTATGCTTGGCTATGTTATGCTATGCTATGGTATGTTAATGCAGCGCTGCGCTATGCTAAACTATGCTACGCTAAGCTAAGCTAACCATCTGGGCAGAGCCTAGTTAGCAATGCTATGCTGTGCTGCGCTATGCTATGCTACGCTATGCTATGTTATGCTGTGCTCTGCTATGCTAAAGCCCCGCGACGCTAAGGTGAAGGTAAGCTAAGCTAAGACTAAGATGAATGTAAGCTAAGCTAAGATACACCTGAGCTCATATGAAACTAAGCTAAGCCAAGATGAAATAAACTAAGCTAAGATGATATAAGCAATGCTAAGCTAAGGGGACGTCCCTGGGGGAACCGCGGGGCGGATCCTGGGGGAACCGCCCAGGGCGGGACCCACTGCCTGGCCCCTTTAAGCTAATAGAGTAAGAAGCCTCTAGGCAGAGCCAGGGTAGGGAAAAAAATGATGAGTTCATGCATGAGTTTATTCATACATTAATCATGGATTACATATCCTATATTTAAAACATCCTATGTATTAAAAACTGCCCTGGAGGCTGGAACGCGCAGGAGCGGAGGCCGATGCCCACGTCCCCTCTTCCTCCGTGGCGCGGAGGGGGGAGGGGAGAGCCGGGGAGAGCGCCGCGGGTGCACCTCGCAGTGGCTCTTACGCCATCGGCGGCGAGCGAGGAGGGGAAGTGAGAAGGAGGAGGCCCTCTGAGAGGGCGGCGGGACTCTTCAGAAGCCCTCGCGCCCGGTGAGAAGATTTTTCAGTGTCTACGGTGAAGGTTCTGAACACTGCTCAGAAGGCCGGGGGACTTCCGAGTCTTCTGAGAAAGGCCCGCCCCTTCTCATTACCCCCCCCTCGCTCGCCGCCGAAACAGCGCCTCGAAGAGCAGCACATCTGCATGAGCAGAAGCTTTCGGGGCTCCGCTCGGATTTCCTGGGCCAGCGCCTGGGAACCCCTGCGTCGCCTCCGCGCACCGCCCCCGGCGCGCTCCGCGCGCCAGGGATGGGGGCCCATTCCCCGATTCAAGTCCCCGCGGATGTTTGGCAGCTTATCTTTATGCCATCCGTGTGTTTCCCTACCTGGGCTCTGCCTAGAGGGTTCTTACTGTGCTGGCTTAAAGGGCCGGGCAGTGTTCCCCGCCCCGGGCGGTTCCCCCGGCATCCGCCCCGTGGTTCCCCCAGTGACGTCCCCTTAGCTTAGCGTTGCTTATCTCATCTTAGCTTAGCTTATATCATCTTAGCTTAGCTTAGCTTCATCTTAGCTCAGGTTTATTCCCTACCTAGGCTCTGCCTAGAAGGGTTCTTACCCTGTGGGCTTAAAGGGCCGGGCAGTGCTCCCCGCCCCGGGCGGTTCCCCCGGCATCTGCCTTGCGGTTCCCTCAGTGACGTCCCCTTAGTTTAGCGTTGCTTATCTCATCTTAGCTTAGCTGATTTCATCTTAGCTTAGCTTAGCTTCATCTTGGCTCAGGTTCATCTTAGCTTAGCTTACCTTTATCTTAGCTTCGCTGAGCTTTATCATAGCAGAGCACTCAGCATAGCATAGCGTAGCATAGCATAGCATAGCGCATATCGTAGCATAGCCCAGCATATCATAGCCCAGCGCAGCATAGCATAGCATAGCATTGCATATCGCAGCACAGCACAGCATAGCACAGCGCAGCATGACATAGCATAACATAGCATAGGATAGCAGAGCAGAGCATAGCATAGCCTAGCATAGCGCAGCTTAGCATAGCGCAGCTTAGCATAGCATAGCACAGCGCAGCATGACATAGCATAGCTTAGCATAGCAAATCATATCATAGCATATCATATCATGGTATAGCGCAGCATAGCATAGCATAGCATAGCATAGCATAGCGCAGCATAGCATAGCATAGCATAGCATGGCGCCTCATAACATGGCATATCATAGCATAGCATAGCATAGCAACTAATGCTGCTTTCCTAGGGGCTCCAACTTCTAGGTAGGGTCGCACTGGGGTAATTATCAAAAGTGACTATTGCCAGTAACCCTGGCGGGGAGTTGGCGTCGTGTCAGGCGTTGGCCGGCATGAGTTCGTTGTGTGCTGGGGGAGTGGATCGCCTCTGGTCGGCGGCCAGCCATGCGTGTGCTGACCGATCCAGCTGCCTGCGGCGAATCCCGCCGCCGTGCCAGCGCAGCAGCGCAGCAGGAACGAGGCTAAGCAGAAGTCAGACCCCGTCCAGTTCAGCGCCCTGTCTCGTCTTGTCTGGCGGTTCTTGCTGGATTTGATAGGCGTGTCGATTTTGGATCTGAGTGTTTTCTCCAGGTCCTGAGCCAGGGTGAATTGCACGTGGTGCGCGATGGCGTTCGATTGTTGATCGGAGAAAGGCTGGTGGACGCTTTCGATCAATTGCGTAGCGTACTCAAGTACAGCGGCAGTCTGGTGCCAACTCACTTCTGGGAGCTGTGGTCCCACAGTAATGTACGTGGGTAACTCACGAGCGTGGGGATACGACAGTTCTCCTGCACCGCCAGATCCAGCAAAACGGGGCGATGCGGGGAGAGTGGGTAGGTGGCCAACGTACGAGGATTGAGGAGTCAAGGAATTAACTCTCGGCTTGCAACACAATAGTCCAGGGTGGACTTGGTCTTCGCGGTTCTGTAGGTAGGTGTGGGAGGAGCGATCAAAGTCGTGGCCGCGCTGGTGAGGAAATCTGACTTGTGCATCTTAGTTGGGGCAAGGTCAGAGTTCCCAGCAGCTAAGATAGCGTTGGCAATATGATCCTGAAGTTGGCCTGTGCTAGCCAGCAAACTTGTCTCAGAGAGGCCCGCCGCAGCTAGGACATACGCACTGTACAATCCGAATTTCGGTACTCCAGGGACCTCCAGAAGCATACCAGGCAGGTGAGATGCATCAGTTCCACTGGGGAACTCGATCGGCTGGACCCCAGGGTCCAAGCCGTCCCTAACCAAAATAGCCACACCCGAGACGAGCTCCCCCATGAGGGTTGACGGCGGCCGTGACTCTACGAGCAAGCCAACGCTGCGCGGAACCCCATTGCATTTGACGCACTATCTCCTGCCGACTGCCGACGGCCTGCACCCCTCGCGCAATGAGAATTGACAAATCACTGGCTCGCTTAGACTGCAGAAAAACCTCCACTGCGCCCCAGCATGACTCGTTGATCGTGGCCAGCGTGCACGTGTTGCCCCGACGGCTTGACCTGCCTGGCGATATCGGAGGCTGCCGCCTCTGCCTTCTTGGCCTCTGGACCCTCGCTGCCTCAGATCTCGGCCATGCTTGCCGCGACCGACTCTTCAGAGCACCGGCTGCCCGCACCAGGCTTTGGGAAGTAACTCCAGCCCATGTCCATCACCAGTGAGCTCCCGTTCTCCACCGTGCTGGTGTTGGAAGATTGGCACCTGGCTGCGCGACCTTTGCTGGAGCAACCGCACTCGGTTGGCTAGGGTCAGCATCTTCTGGTTTGGCTCCCACAGGTGGTAGTGCACTGTCTTCTGAGGAGGAACAGAAGAAAGAGGAGGAGAGGAGGGAGGGAGGGAGGGAGGGAAGGAAGGGAGGGAGGGAGGGAGGCGGAAGTGGAGGCGGAGGCGGAGGAGGAGGAGGAGGAGGAGGAGGAGGAGGAGTAGGCGTGGGGATGGGCATGAGAAGGAGGAGGAGGAGGAGGAGGAGGAGGAGGAAGGGGAGGAGGAGGCGGCGGGAGGATCATGAGAGTAATCACAATACAGAGGAGACGGGAGAGGACGAGGACGAAGATGAAACAGCAGGGAGAGGAGAGTGTATGGCAACAGTCGTAGGGGTGAGCACCATGCGTCGAGCAGGATGTCGAGGGGTACCCGCACATCAAGCAGTACTCCGAAGGCGTGCTTCGCTCTCTATCTCTCTCTTTCTCTCTCTGTCTATATATATATATATATATATATATATATCGACGCCTCTGGTGCAGGGGGGCAAGCGACGAAGCGTTCGCTGCCTCAATTGGACCTTGATCTAAGCCTCGGCGTCTTGTATCGGGGGATGGCCAGCCGAGACAGCGTCTGCCCTCCCTGGCGTTTCTCGTGCTTCGGGCCTCCTGGGGGGCTTCTCGGCTGGACCCCTGCCGAAGCACTGGTCAGGATCTGCCGCTGGAGGGGCCCGGGGGCTGTTGCTTGGAGGTTTCGGCTCGGGCGGGAGAATTGCCGCTGTCTCACCTGACCCTCCTCTGCCTTGCTGCTATACTTGAACTCGGGTCGATCCTTCTGCGTTTGTGTTGCTGGTTTTCCATCGACGGCGCGTACGGCAATTCATTGTTGCTTTCACCGCACGCCCGTAGACGGGGTCGCGGCCAGTCCGCGACCACTGTAGGATTGCTCGGCCGTGCGGTCTCTCTTTACTTTCCTCGCTCCTGCCCAGCGAGCGAAACAAAACGTGGATCGATGTCTCGGCGGCGAAGGTGATAACTTCTTGGCGACTCCAGTTGGTTCTCGGTGAACCTATCCTGAGCCACTAGACTGCGAGGTAGTACGAGGAAGTGGTCATTCAGCGGCTTCGACGTCATTTTCCGCGTCTCAGGTGCAAGGGCGTCAGCATGTGGTTGTGCCATTGGTTCAACATGCGCATACTATTTTTTCGCTGCATGACTATCCACGTTTGTTGACCGACAGAGTGCTTCTGTTTGAGTCGAGGCAGGGATGGCTTAGTATTGATTAGGCGTGATCTCACTCCCAAGGGCGGCGTCAACCAACGACCAGAACCAAGCTTTAGCCATGTGGCCGCCAGCAACGATCTTCATACGTTGTGCCGTTACAGTATGGCGACTACGATGGACGTATTATGGGATTCTGGTGGTTACGACATGTTTCGAGGTCGTTCGTTGTAAGATTTCCCATCGTGTGGTAAGGCAGCTAGGTCGTACACGGGGCGGTAACGTGGGCACGGTGAGGTGTGGACGAGGTACCCTTCTACGGGCGTGAGTTTTGCACTGTACATGGCCTCGCTGTGAACGCAGCAGCCTTGTCCGACGCACAAAAGTCAAGACGGGATCCAGCACGACTCCTGCGAGGAAGCTGCGGCGCGAGTGCGGACGTGACAGTCGAGTCTGGCAGCGGGCGAGGCAGCACGGAGGCACGGCGCAGGTGCGCGGTAGGGCAACGAACATGACAGGAGGGTGCCTCATCCTGCTCCTCCTTTCCTCCTTCACTCCTCCTGCTGCAGCTGGCATGTTCGGCGTCCCACGGAGGAGCACAAAAAAAACACTCCTCCTGCTCATCCTCCTTTTGCGCACAGTAGGTCGCACGTCTCGCCCCCCCTCCTACTCCTCTTCCTCCTCCTCCCCCTCCTCCTCCTCCTGACACCCGACACCTGGTGGCTCGAAAGTTCGTCAGAACGCTCTTCTTCCTCCTCCTCGATCTGGGACCCTCACAGGTCGATCCGCCTCGAAGAATGATGCAGGAAGCTTGGGTCTAGGGCCCTGGTCGTGATGTTCCACGATGTTTCAATTTTTCCGAGTCGTCGGATCTCAGGGTCATGCAGCTCCACGGCCGGCTGCGTCCAGCGCCCACGGGGGGTACACAGCTGTTCCCTCACGCTTCTAGTCGCTGCTCTGGCCGTGATCGATTCCTATCGTCTGCTGCGGGCCTCTCGCGCGTCGGAGGAACAACTGTGCATCTCTCTCTCCTTCTCGCTACGCTTCTAGTCGCTGTCGCTCTGGCCGCGATCGATTCCTATCGCCGTCTGCGGTCCTCTCGCGCGTCGGCGGAACAACTGTGCATCTCTCTGTCTCTCTCTCTCTCTCCGCTTCTAGTTGCTGTCGCTGGCCGCGATCGATTCTCATCGTCGTCTGCGCTCCTCACGCGCGTCGGAGGAACAGCTGTGCATCTCTCTCTCTCTCTCTCTTTCCTTCTCCGTGTTTGGAAATGCCAGCCTTCTGCTTCTGCGCCAGCCTCTGCGACCGAGGCGTTGCCGTCGCCAAGTGGACGGGCGGCCGGCAGAAAGATGCGGCACGTCTGGTGCCACCGGGCCATATGTGGGGACGAGAGCGAGGGGGAAACGAGACGGAACTCGGACTACGGTAGAGGTAGGTTGGTGTTGCAGCAGATAGGTGAGGATGACGATGATGATGATGATGATGATGATGATGATGATGATGATGATGATGATGATGTTGCTGATGGTGATGCTGATGATGATGATAATGAGCATGATGACGATGATGGTGATGATGATAACGATGATGAGGATGGTGATGATGACGATGATGACGCAGCTGTTGATGATCACAATGATGATGATGATGATGATGATGATGCTGATGATGATGATGATGATGATGATGATGATGATGATGATGATTACAATGCTTATGGTGAGGATGACGATTGTGCTGCTGATGATGACGATGATGCTGGTGATGATGATGGTGATGATGATGATGCTGATGATTGTGACGGTGGTGACGATGGTGATGGTGATGATGGTGATGATGCTGATGCTGTTTAGGATGAGGATGATGATGCTGATGCCGAGGACGATGATGATGATGATGATGATGATGATGATGATGATGATGATGATGCAGCGATGCTGATGATGCTAATGATTTTATTGGGATGGTGATGGCGATTACGATGATGATGCTGATGAGTATGGTCATGATGCTGATGCTGATAATGATGATGATGGTTATGATGGCGATGATGGATGCTGACGATCACGATTATGATGATGATGGTGAGGCTGACGATAATGATGCTGCTGCTGACGACGACGATGATGATGATAGGAATGAGGAGGAGGACGAGAAGGAGGAGGAGGAGGAGGAGCAGGAGGAGGAGCAGGAGTGGGAGGGGTTGGAGGAGGGGAAGGGAGTGGTGTAGGATAATGAGAAAAAAAAGGATGCAGAGGAGGCGGAGGCGGATGAAGACAGGTCGGAGGTTGGACAGGAAGCTGCGGCGGCGGTGGAAAGAGGGTCCATCGAAGGATCATCCTCCGCTGTGAGGGTGAGCACCACTCCCTCCCCCTGTGATGAGAAGGCGACGAAAGAGTAGGCGACGGGAGTCGCCAACTGAACAAAGTGCTGTTCAGGCTCTGGGCCGCCCCCCAGACTCTGGGGGGTCCTCCCTCCTCCTCCTCCTCCTCCTCCTCCTCCTCCTCCTCCTCCTCCTCCTCCTCCTCCTCTACGTCCTCCTCTGGACCTCTGGATGGTGGCAGTTCTTGTGCATAAAATTGATGCCATCGTCCTCTTCCTCCTCCTCGTCCGCCTCATCCTCCTCCCTCCCCTCATCCTTTGCCTCCTCCTCCTCCTGCAGCTCCTCCTGCCTCCCCTCCTCCCCTCGTCCCCTCCTTCTGGACCCCGAGAAGCCCCTGAGCGAGCTGCCAGAGAGACCCGAGACGGCTTCAGGAGTGGCCCCAGATGGCCCCAAGAGAAGCCCAGGAGTTATGTACCAGCGGGCCCTCGGTTGGTATAACTCCTGGGTTCCTCTCGGGGCCATCTTGGGCCCCTCGTGGAGCCGTCCTGGGGCCCTCTGGGGGCCCAGAGGGCCCTCGAGGGCCCTGAGAAGCACTCGAGAGGGCCCCCAGAGGGCCCCAAGACGGCTCCAGGAGGGGCCCAAGATGGACCCAAGAGAAGCCCAGGAGTGATGTACCAGCGGGCCCTCGGTTGGTACATATCTATTGGGCCCCTTTTGGGGCCCTCTCGGGGCCTTCTTGGGCTCCGCCGCAGGGCCCTGGGAAAAGCCCAGAAGGGCCCCAAGACGGCTCCAAGGGGGCCCCAATACGATCCCAATAAAGCCCCGAGATCGGTGACCCAGACGATTCAAAGAGGGCCCAGAGACGGCCCCAAGACGGCTCCAAGAAGTCGTCGTCACGTCGTCGTCGTCGTCCTCGTCCTCGTCCTCGTCCTCGTCCTTCGTCGTCGTCGTCGTCGTCGAATTCCATGTGTTTTTCCTTTTGCGCCCCCCCTGGACGGGCAACAGAAAGTATGGTTTTTGCACATTGCGACCGAAAGCGCTTGTCGCGCGCATTTACCGCCAACGCGCCGAGGCAAGGGCTCCGACGCACAATTGTTGGAATCCCTATGGGTTTTTGACTCATTAGGGGAGGCCGCACGGGAAAACACATGGGAAAGTTGCCGCCGTCGTCGTCGTCGTCGTCGTCGTCTTCGTCGTCGTCGTCGTGATGCCCCACAGGGGACACCGGGTAATTCCGATGTCCCACGGGGACCACCGGGTAACTCTTGCCCAGACCTCCCCCTGCAAGGTCGAGTTTCTCGATGTCCCCCAGGGGACACCGGGTAATTCCGATGTCCCACAGGCCAGTGTCCCACGGGGTCCACCGGGTAACTCCGATGTCCCACGGGGGACACCGGGTAACTCCGATGTTCCATGGGCCGATGTCCCACGGAGACCACCGGGTAATTCCGATGTCCCTCGGGGGACACCGGGTAACTCCGATGTCCCACGGGCTGATGTCCCACGGGGTCCACCGGGTAACTCCGATGTCCCACGGGGGACACCTGGTAACTCCGATGTCCTACGGGGGACCACCGGGTAACTCATGCCCTGACCCCCCTGCAGGGTCGAGTTGCCCGATGTCCCTCGGGGGACACCGATGTCTCTCGCGGGACACCGAATCATGCCGAATGAGCCCCCTGCAAGGTCGACTTACCCGATGCCCTTTTGGGGGATACTGGGTAAGTGGGGGGCGTGGAGCGCACCCCCCGCTTATCCGATGTCTCCTGGGGGAAACCGGGTAGCTCATGCCCGACACCCCCCCGTGCATGGTCGAGTTACCCGATGCCACCCCCTTGCCACCGGATAACTTGTGCCCAACACCCCCCCCTTGCAAGGTCAACTTGCCCGATGTCACCCGGGGGACACCGGGTAAGTGGTGGGTGTGGAGCGTACCCCCCAGTTACCCGATGCTCCCAAGGGGGGGCGCCAAGTAACTCATGCCCGTCGTCGTCGTCGCCGGTCGTCGGTCGTGAGCCGGAAAAAAAGTTTAGGCTTCGGATCCGTTTTGGGGCCCCCCAAGGCCCCGAGGGCTCCAGAACCCGAGGGGAAAACAGCAGCAAAACTTACCACTCCAGGTGGTCGAGCCCATGAAGTGTTCAGACTGGCGTTTCCGTATTATCTTTCTTCATCCTATTCCTCATCATTTCCCGCGTCGTGATCACCACCACCACCATTATCACCATCATCGTCATCATCATCAGATCCTTGGAGCCCTCAGTCCTCAAGTCCCTGGAGACCTCAGTCCTGTGTACTGTGTACTAGTTCTATTTCAGGGGTCGACCCCTCCAAGTTGGCCCCAAGATGGCCCCAGGAGGGCCCAAACCGTGTCCGGACAAACTGGACATGGATGTCCACATTGTCCGGCCGCCGTGGGACACTTCAAGGTGCCGCCCGCTGCGCCGCCCAGAAGAAATCGATAGCCCTCCGCCGAAGTTTCAAGAACCGGCGGCCAAGACAATTTGGACATGGATGTCCAAATTGTGCAGGCCCCAAGAGGGCTCAAGGCAGCCCCAGCCCCCGCCCCCGCCGCCGCCGCCGCCGCCGTCGTCGTCGTCGTCGGCGTCGTCGTCATCGTCGGCGACGGCGACGACGGCGACGACGGCGACCAGGGTGACCAGGCCGAGCGCGCCGCTCCTGGTGGGCCCGGCCAGGGGCGGGCGGACCTGCGGCGTGTGCACAGTTCGTCGCCCCCGGCGGCTCGGTTGCAGCTCGCGGGGAAGGTGAGAGCGGCATCGGCGCTGGCAGGCGCGTCGGCTCGAGAGGGGTCTGCACGCGGCTCCGGAGCCAGGTTCGCGGACCCCTGGCAGGGCCGACCGCCTTCTGTCACGCTGCGCAGACACTCGCGCAGCAGCACACCACCAGAGGTCATCATCATCATCATCATCATCATCATCATCATCATCATCATCATCATCAGCATCATCATCAGCATCAGCATCAGCATCATCATCAGCATCATCATCACTTTCATAAAGTTCATCTTTTTAACCATCACCACCTTTATCAACAGCATCATCACCACCACTATCATCATCAGCATCATCATCGTCATCCTCATCGTCATCACCATCATCATCTTGAGCACCACCGACATCATCGTCGTCATCATCATCAGCGTGATCTGAGGTCGGACCGATCCAGCATAGTCCCGATCCAGCATCGTCTCTATCATCAACATCAGCATCACCACCATTATCATGATTATCATCATCATCATCATCATCATCATCATCATCATCATCGTCGTCATCTCTATCATCATCATCACCATCATTATCATCGTCATCAGCATCATCAGCATCGTCATCTTTATCGTCATCGTCATCGTCATCGTCTTCGCCATCGCCGTCACCGTCGTCATCATCCGCATCGTCGTCAGAATCATCATCAGCATCAGCATTACCAGCTTCATCATCATCATCAGTATCAGCATCGTCATCATCATCACCATCATCATCCTCATCATCATCAGCATTACCAGCACAACCATCATCATCAGCACCATCATCATCATCATCATCATCATCATCATCATCATCATCATCATCATCATCATCATCATCATCACCATCACCATCACCATCATCATCATCGTCACCACCATCATCATCCACATCTTCATCATCCTCATCATTCTCAGCGCGGTCGATGATTGGCCCGATCCAGCATAGTCCCATTCCATCTGGCTCAACTGGTTTTCGTAACCCGACTCAGGCCAGATATCAACCTTGGCTCATCCGAGCTTCCCAGCCCGCAGTCCTTCTTACGAAGGCCTCCCAGGGATGTGCCTCCTGATGTGCAGATCTCGCCGCCCCAGGAGGGGTGCCGCGCTCCTATCTGATGGCCTTCGGCCTATCCCGCCATCGTGGCTAGGTTGTGGGTCATACAGTGGGTGCCCATGCCAAGAAACTCCCTGCTTGCCTCCAGGGTGCCCTGGGTTTGGGTTTCGATTGTGTTCCGATGGAAATCGTGACGTTCCCACACCAAAAACAGTGGACGTCCTGGGGTCTCAGCGTTGGGTTTCTTGTGGGAGGTTTCTTGCGGACTGGCCTCCACTTTAGGCCTAGGATGTTCGTTAAGATGTTGCGGGGGGCCTCTCGGGGGCCTCGGGTGGGCACTTTTGAGACGTATTGCGGGCCGTTTAGGGGCGTCTTCGGGGCCTCTTGTGGGTTTTGGGCCTCTTGGGGTCTCCTGGGGGCCTCCTGGGGGCCTCTTGGGGCGTCTTCGGGGCCTCTTGTGGGTTTTGGGCCTCTTGGGGCCTCCTGGGGGCCTCCTTGGGGCCTTCGGTTCGTGTTCCCCCTCTTGGGTCTGTCTTGGGGCTTTCTTTGGGCCCTCCTGGGCCGTTTTGAGCGCCTCTGGGGCCGTCTTGGAGCCCTCTTGGGCGATGTTCGGGCCCTCCTGGGGGCCTCTTGGGCCGTCTCGGGCGGGTCCTGGGGGCCTCTCGGACCGGCTTCGAGCGTCGCGAGCTCGAAACGTCGAGGACCCCGAAATCAGTGGCCTCTCGGGGCCCTCTCGGGAAGGCTCTAGAGTCTCTCTTGGGGCGTCTTGGAGGCCTCTTGGGCCGTCTTGGGACCATCTTGGGCGTCTTGGTGCGATCGTCTTGGGGCTTCTTGAGACCGTCTTTGGGGCTTCTTGGGGCCCCCTTGGCCCGTCTTCGGGCCCTCTTTGCTCCGAATAAGTTTTGCGAGAAGATGCCGGGAACTCCAGGGGTCACGCGAGAAGCCCAAGAAGATTTGGCAATTGGGGCTCCGGACCCCGGGCTCTTGGCTCCCCAGGAGTGCTCAAGGGATTGGGTAAAGGACCTGAGGACACGCCCATTCCGCGCCCGGCGGCACGGTGGCGGGTGTCTAAGGACAAACAAGCGGCATGTGCACAATTTTCCGGAGGTCCGCGCAGGGTTCTTGGATCGGCGCTGGGTACCTCTGGACTCTGTTTTTCTCCCACTTGCTCCCTCCCGTTCCTCCCCTCCTTTCCTCCGTCATCGTGCTCCTCCGCCTCCTCCTCGTTCACCTCCTCCTCCTTCACATCTTGTTCCTCGTCCTGCCCGTCCTTCGCCTCTCCCTTCGCCCCCTCTCTCGCCCCTCCTGGCGGCGCCCCTCCGGCGCCGCCCTGGCGGGGCTGGGAGGCCAAGTGGCTCACCAAGCGGCTCGGGGCGCCCGCAGAGCCCGAGGGCGGCGAGCAGCTCGAGGAGCCGGAGCGGCGCTGCCTCGCGGCGCGGACATCGGCGGGCACTGGGCGCAGGGGTGGGCAGCGGGAAGGGGGGAGGCTGCGGAGGGGGGGGAGAGGGAGGTGGGGGGGGGGAGGAGGGGCATGAGGAGAGGAGGAGGAGGAGAGGAGGAGGAGGAAGGAGGAGAAACATGAGGAGAGGAGGAGGAGGAGAAGGAAGGGAGGGAAGGAGAGAGGAGGGGAGGAAGGAGGAGAGGAGGAGAAGGAGGAGGAGAAGGAAGGAGGAGGGGAGAGGAGGGAAGGGGAGAGAGGAGATGAGGAGGGGATGAGGGAGGAGAAGGCGGCTTCTCGGCGGCTCTGCGCGCGCGGAGTGCGGCGGCTGCTTGATGCGCGGCGGGAGGGCGGGGGGAGTCTGCGGTCGAGGAGGATGGAGGAAGGGAGGAGGAGGAGGCGGGGGAGGAGGGATCATGGTAAAGGCGCAGATGGGGCGCATTCAAAAGTCCGTGATCCACCGACGCCTCTTCGGGCACCTGCAGGGCTCGGTGCTCCCAGGACATAAGGGGTGCGTGCGGGGCGTTGGTGATGCTCGCGTGGTTCTCCGCGAGCTTGCCGCGGCGGCGGCGGCGAATGGTCCGCCCTCGTGGGTCATCTTCGGTGACCTTCAGAAAGCGTTCCCACGTGCGGCGGGAAGGGCTGCTACACATGCTGGTCCTCCTGGGGAGCTTTTTGGAGAAGGACGCCATCCATGTGAATTTTTAGGGCATGGAAACAGACGCAGTGACCCAGGGGATTGCGGAAGGTGGTACCGTGGGGCCGCTCATCTTCCCCGACTCGCTTGCTCGGGACCTGCAGGTTGCAGGGTGCGGCGCGGGGGTGGGTATGCGGACGCCGCCGGCCTGGTCGGGCCATGGATGGGCCGGCGCAGGGGAGCCGGGCCAAGATCTTGTAGTGCGCCTACTGCGCGCGATGGCCACGAGGGCGCCGCTGCCTCCGACGGCGCCGCGGCAGGACCCAGCCTTGGAAGCCTCCGCCCTCGCCGCCCTGGACGCCGCCGCCCCCGGGCGGATATGGGGCCCCCCTGCACGCGGACGACCCGGCCCTGCTGGCATCTTCTTGGGGAGGAGCTGCGCGGTCCTTCAGCTCCTAGCCGACTGGGCGCACAGGTGGCAAGCGTCTCCACGCGCCAAAGCTTCCAAGCATGCCGCTGTTGCGCATGGGTCCCAGGCTGCGCGGGCGGCCGCTGCCAGCGCCCCCCCTCTCCCGCGGCCGCTGCGCGGCCTCCCGCCGGCACGGGTGGACCTCGGCACAACGCGCAAGTGGCTTGGTCTACAGTGGCCTGGGGATCTGTGCCTGCATGGGGCGCTGGAGACGCGGCTCGCCGCGGCCTCGTCGCAGCGCGCGTCCCTGGCGAGGCATCTGGCGGCAGGTGCGCTCCCACTGGCCGCAGCGGCGCTCATTTTCGACATGGAGATTGACGCCTCCCTGCGCTTCGGGCGCTGGCTCCCGGCCGTCGCCGAGGGGGCTCTCGAGCGCCTGGGCTCTGCTTGCGAAGGGCGGGCCAGGGCGCTCCTGGGGGGCCATCCCTGGCGCGACGGTGCCGCGGCAGTCTCGGAGCTCGGCTGGTCGCTCTCTAACGGGCCACGAGCCATCCTGGACATCGCCTCCCGGCGAGCTGGCCGGTGGCTCCTTCCAGGTGGGGATTTTTTCAAGAGGGGCGTTTGTGATCGGCCAGGTCTCTCCAGGGCGCGCCTGGGCGACTGCCTCGCTAGCGCTGTCGGACCAGTGGGGCCTGCCGGCCCGCCTGGGTGGGCGCCGCAGGGGGGGGGTTGCCCTGCCTGCGTACAGAAAGGTTAATGAGGGGCACTCCCCGGGCAAGGCGCAACGCAGCTCTTCGCCAACGGCTCCAGACGCGGGTCCGAGTGCCCGCTCCGCTCTCGCTTGGCCCAGTGCCCCGGAACGTCATCTCCACGGCGCTCTGACTGCGCCTGCCCAGCGCGGCCTTCTTCGGCCAGCGCTCCCTCAGTCGGCTCCGATGCCAGCTCCTTGTCCTGAGCCGCTTGTCTGGTGTTCAGTCGGGGGCCCGCCGGCAATGGTGCGCGCGCGCTCTCACCCTGCAGGTTCTAGGGGACTGCAACAACGCAGGCGCTGCGCGAACGGCCTTTCGGACAGCGCGCGGCCCCCCGCCTCCGACATCGAGGGGGGCGGCGGCCAGCGAGATCCTCTCGGTCCGCCCAGGGGAGGCGGGATTCCTGGAAGCGGCCACCCTCGCCAGAGACATCGACCTTTCGGTGTCAAAGTTCCGGGGCCCAGCGGCGGACCAAAAGCGCGCATCCCTTCCTCTGCTCGGAATGTCCTCCATGCCTGCGCCCTTCCTCCTCTCCCTCCCTCCAGAGCTGGAGGGCCGGGCAGAGCCAGGCTGGACGCGCAGTGGCGTAGGTGGGGGTCCCCCTCCCCCTTCCTTGGAATGGCTCTCCCCCCCTTCCTTCCGACGCCGCGCCACTGCATCTGCGCCATGCAGTGGCAGGGCCTCGGTAGAAAGGTCATGCAAGAGCTCCAACCGCAGAGGGCATTCCTCGCCCGCTGCGATTGGCCAGTTCCCGTTCTTGCGACCCGCCGGTTTTGGCCCGGCCTGTGGCGACCGGGGGACGGGGCGGAGCTGGACAGAACACTGGATGGCATTCCACTCCGTCCTCCCCCCCCAGTGCCAAGTCGGACCCTAGCCTGGTCGCCGTGGGGTCGCGCGCGGCCGCCCCCCCCCCGGGAACCTGGCGCCCCCTACGGAAAGGTGGCCACGCATGGAGCCACCGCACCCTCCTCTGGAGGACAATCCAATCCAATCCAATCCAATCCAATCCAATCCAATCCAATCCAATCCAATCCAATCCAATCCTCCTCCTTTTCCTCCTCCTCCTTTTCCTCCTCCTCCTCCTCCTCCTCCTCCTCCTCCTCCTCCTCCCTCCTCCCCCCCCGCATGTTCCTCCGTCATCTCGTCCTCCTCCTCCTCCTCCTCTCCTCCTCTCCTCCTCCTCCTCCTCCTCCTCCTCCTCCTCCTCCTCCTCCTCCTCCCTCCTCCTCCTCCTCCTCCTCCTCCTCCTCTTCTTCCTCCTCCTCCTCCTCCTCCTCCTCCTCCTCCTCTGCCTGGATGGAATGCCGAGGGCGATCGATACTGTTGTCCGCTTATCTGTCACTGGCCGCGCACGGGCATTGCCCGGAAAGGTTTGCTGTTCGTGCCCCACTTCCAGAGTGGTGCCGAGCTGCTTGCATTGAGGGGGCCACCCCCGGACGACCTGTTCGACCTTCTCCGGACTCTTGCGGAGCGCCGCCGCCGCCTCCTCCCCCTCCCCCTGTTCGACCTGCTTGCACTGAGTGCTTGCTCCCCTGTTCGACCTTCTTCGGACTCTTGTGGAGCGCCGCCGCCGCCTCCTCCCCCTCCCCCTCAACCTCCTCTTCTCCTCCTCCTCCTCCTCCTCCTCGTCCTCCTCCTCCTCGTCCTCCCCATCCTCCGTCGCATCCTTGTTCCTTTCCTCCTCCTCTCCCTCCCCTTCCCCCTCCTCCTCCTCCTCTCCCTCCCCCTCCCCCTCCTCCTCCTCTTCCTCCTCCTCCTCCTCCTCCTCCTCCTCGTCCTCCTCATCCCCCTCCTGCTCCTCCTCCTCTTCCTCCTCCTCCTCCTGGTTCTGCCATCCCCCCCCCATTATTTCCGCGCCAGGAAGTCCAGCCCGACCCGTCGCTGGTGGCGCGGGAGCGAGGCCGTCGGGGAGGGTGGAGGTGCGGGGAGGGGCGCGAGGGCGCGGGTGGTTGTCGAGGAACCGCAGACACGGACGAGGGCGCGACGAGTAGCCACGGGTCTCGTTTCCGTGCGGACTCGGCGCGCCGCGGCGCCAGATCAGGCGGCAGTGGCTTCCTGTAGGGGAGGGGGAGGGGGAGGAGAAGGAAGAGAGGGCGGAGAGGGGGCAGGGAGAGGAGAGGGAGTTGCTTCAGGGTTGCCGCTGAATCACCATGCGTATGCTGTGGCCGTCCCTGGTCCTCCCAGGGGGCCTGCGCGGCGCAGGCCCGCCCGCCGCCCTTGCAGGGGCGCCGGCCCTCCCTGGCGATGGCAGCTTCGGTCATTCGATCGTTCGTTTCGGGAGCACCTTGCCCGATCCGTGTCAGCGTGCGCCCGACGTTGGCGATACGCGCGCAGGCAGGAGCACGAGGGGCTCCTCAGAATCGAGGGCGACCAAACGTGGAGAACATTCGGTCGATAGCTTCTGGATGGCGTGTCCCGAAGAAAAAGAAGCGGCATACACATACACTTTGGACGGTCCGCACAGATTACTGGGGTCTGCGTTTGACCCCACTGGCGGCGCCTCTGGCGCCGCCCCTGGATTGCTTGCTCCGAGCGCCAGGGGGGTCAGCGCCAATCCAAAAAATCCGCGCGGACCTCAGGGAAATTCTAGACGCTTCGCGTGACCCCGCAAGCCTACCCAGAAAAGATGCCCAGACGAGTTGCCCTGCTCAGGGATGTGGAAGAGCATGCAGTGGAATGAAGGGCTGCGTGCGACGTCTTTCCCCAAGAGGGGAGAGGATGAGGAGGAATCGGATGAATGAGGAGGAGGAGGAGGAGGAAGGAGGAGGAACAGGCGGATTTGGAAGAGGAGGAGGGGGTGGAGGAGTAGGGAGGCGGAGAAGGAGGTGGAGGAGGAGGAGGAGGAGGAGGAGGAGGAGGAGGAGGAGTTGGAGGGGGAGCAGAAAAGGTTAGAGGTTAGAAGCATCTTGGATGCCTCTCGGAGTCTCTTCGGATCTCTTCCAAGAGTCTCTTGGGGTCCTCTTGGGGTATCTTCGGGGTCTCTTGGCAGTCCCGGGTCCCTCTTGGGGGCTCTTGAGTGCCTCTTGGGAGCCCTTGGGGGCTCTTGGATGTCTCTTGGGGGCCTCTTGGGGTCATCTTGGGGGCCCCTTCTGGGCCTCCGGGGGCTTCCTGGGCAGCTATCGGGGCCGTCTTGGGACACCCTTGCGAGCTTCGGGGGCCATCTTGGGGCCACATTGGAGACGATCGAGCAATGGAGGGCCATCGCACATTGGGGTCCTCCCCCCAGGAGGCCAAAAGGTGGCCCACACCGTCGTATAACATCAGTTGTGTGTGTCTCCTCGCCGAGGCCTCTTGGGGCGTCTTGGGCTTCTCGGGGGGGCCTCTTGTAGGCTCTTGGGCGTCTCTGTGGAGCCCCTTGGGGTCATCTTGGATGCCTCTTGGGGGGCCTGTTGGGGCCGCCTGGGCACCTCTTTGGGCCATCTTGGTGCAACCTGGGGAGCCTCGGGGGCTATCCTTGGGCCATCTTGGAGGTGATCGATCAAAGAAGGGGGATCTTGTAATTAGGGTCCCCCCCGCAGGAGGCCAACATAGGGCCAACACCCTAGTAACATCAGTGATTTTGGCTTCCTCGCCGAGGCCATGTTTGACGCTCTAGCGCCTCGCCCTCCCCCCCTACACACCCACGGGTAGACGGTAGGGGGAGGGGTCAAGACACCCCCTAGATAGCAAGACGTCTGGCTCACCCCCACCCGCGCTCCCACCACATACGTCAGGGTTTGACCTGAACGCTGTGTTGCTGGACTTCGGCGTTGTTTTGTTTTTCGTTTTGGTAGGGAGGTACAGGACAGCGGGTAAAGCAACACGAACAACGGCACGAGCACAACATGAAAACCAACGTTTGGGTCCAGCCCTGACATAAGCAACACCCGAGCCTCAGCATGGTCAGCGGTCGTCTTTGGAAAGACAGCTACTGGGAACCAAAACTGACCCATGAGCACGACGCTGGGGCGAGGTGCACTACGTGTGCCAGGCGTGCCACGCGCGCCAGGCACCCCTGGGGCCCGAGCGTGCCAGGCACGCCTGGTGTGCCAGAGCGCGAGGGGTGCCGCATACTCCATCCGCGCCACGCGCGCCATGTTCGGGGCACGTTCAGAGTGTGTCAGGTGCGCCTGCACACATGACAGCACACATCGGGAAACGTGTCGGCCCAACCATCCTTGTCGAAAAGCAATGCCCATCATTATGCCTGGTGGGCCTGCGCACAGCAGGCCATACGCCACCACTCCCGCGATCCCTGTCAGAAACCACTTGATAGTGAACGCTGTGTGGCCTGGCCGCGCATGATCCAGATTTAGCCGCGAGGTGCATGTCGTACTGTTGGTTTCGGTAGGGATGATAGCCCTGCGCGCAGCAGGCAATATGCTTACACCCCCGCCGCCCCTGTCAAAAACAATACAAAGTGCTCGCGGCCCTCACGACCATGACGCAAGACTTTGCCCCACATTGTTCCCAACCCTCCTGCGTTGGGTTCTCGTTTTGAATAGAGCACTGCTCGCGCGTCTCCTTTCTTCCTTCCCGCCCCTCTCTTTGCCTTTTGCCTCGCTCGTCGCTGCGTGCCAGCTGGGGGGCTGCGGTCTGTGAAACTGTCGCCACTTTCGAGGCCTGCTGGGGGGGCCAGCACAGTGGGTACTCACCGCTGACTCAAATGGGACCTCGCCATCCCTGGGGGGCTGCGATCTGTGACACTGCCGCCACTTTCGAGGCCTGCTGGGGGGCCCAGCACAGTGGGTACTCACCGCAGACTCAATTGCGACCTCGCCATCCCTGTGGGGCTGCGATCTGTGAAACTGTCGCCACTTTCCAGGCCTGCTGAGGGGCCCGGCACAGTGGGTACTCACCGCAGACTCAAATGGGACCTCGCCACCCCTGGGGGCTGCGATCTGTGAAACTGTCGCCACTTTCGAGGGCTGCTGAGGGGCCCAGTACAGTGGGTACTCACCGCAGACTCAGATTCGATCTCGCCATCCTTGGGGGGCTGCGATCTGTGAAACTGTCGCCACTGTCGAGGGCTGCTGAGGGGCCCAGCACAGTGGGTACTCACCGCAGACTCAGATTCGATCTCGCCATCCCTGGGGGGCTGCGATCTGTGAAACTGTCGCCACTTTCGAGGGCTGCTGAGGGGCCCAGCACAGTGGGTACTCACCGCAGACTCAAATTGGACCTCGCCATCCCTGGGGGGCTGCGATCTGTGAAACTGTCGCCACTTTCGAGGCCTGCTGGGGGGCCCAGCACAGTGGGTACCCACCGCAGACTCAAATTAGACCTCGCCATCCCTGGGGGGCTGCGATCTGTGAAACTGTCGCCACTTTCGAGGCCTGCTGGGGGGCCCAGCACAGTGGGTACTCACCGCAGACTCAAATTAGACCTCGCCATCCCTGGGGGGCTGCGATCTGTGAAACTGTCGCCACTTCGAGGGCTGCTGAGGGGCCCAGCACAGTGGGTACTCACCGCAGACTCAGGACCTCGCCATCCTGGGGGGGCTGCGATCTGTGAAACTGTCGCCACTTTCGAGGGCTGCTGGGGGCACAGCACAGTGGGTACTCACCGCGGACTCAAATGGGACCTCGCCATCCCTGGGGGGCTGCGATCTGTGAAACTGTCGCCACTTTCGAGGCTGCTGGGGGGCACAGTGGGTACCACCGCGGACTCAAATGGGACCTCGCCATCCCTGGGGGGCTGCGATCTGTGAAGCTGTCGCCACTGTCGAGGGCTGCTGGGGGGCCAGCACAGTGGGTACTCACCGCAGACTCAAATTGGACCTCGCCATCCCTGGGGGGCTGCGATCTGTGACACTGTCGCCACTGTCGAGGGCTGCTGAGGGGCCCAGCACAGTGGGTACCCACACGCAGATTCAAATTAGACCTCGCCATCCCTGGGGGGCTGCGATCTGTGAAACTGTCGCCACGTTCGAGGCCTGCTGGGGGGCCCAGCACAGTGACGCCACACGCATATTCAAATTAGACCTCGCCATCCCTGGGGGGCTGCGATCTGTGAAACTGTCGCCACTATCGAGGCCTGCTTGCGGGGCCCAGCACAGTGACGCCTCCCAAGTAGCTAACACATCAAGTTGATTGTCCATACAGGTTTCGGCCAACTCCTCGTTTCCATTGATACAAATGGGTTGGGTACGTCACAGGGTAATACGCTGTATGGTTGTTTGACAGAGATGGTGTGGGGGGGTCCGCATCGGGCTGGATGCGCACGCTCCAAATGAAGAGGCAGAGTGCGTTCCGTATTGTTTCTGACAGGGATGGTGTGGGGGGGGGGCGCATGGTTCTTGGTTGGTTGTTTGTCGCCTTGATTAGCTCTTCCCCAGAGGGGACAAGAGGGGACCACTCACGCCCTGAAGGCCTGGTGGGATGACGGTCGGAACTTTTCGATAGCGTATCGTTATCGAAGCTTCCCGCCCCGCGGACAGGAGCGACACGCTATCCGCTCTCATGGCATAGCGTGTCGCTGCTGCCGCCGCCGCGACACGCGAAGGACAAGTTTCCAACCGTGAACCTCTCGGAAGTCGCGCGGACTTCTCGGATCTTCGCCAGACATCGCTGGCGGCGCATCCTGCGCCGCCAACGGTGCGGCGCGCTCCGCGCGCCAGGGGGGGGAAGTTCAGCGCCGATCCAAGATATCGGCGCGGACCTCGGAAATGTTATGTATATTTCTTTCTTTTCGAGCGAAGGGGGGTGGTTTTCTGAGAGTGCGGGGGCTTTTTAGAAGGAAGGGGCATTTTTTCGAAGTGCCCTGGAGGTTCTGCCAGACCTACCAGCTGGGGTCGCTAAGGTCGCCATGTGGATGGGTGAAGAGCAGCACCTCGGAGATTTCCTGCTGGGATTTGGGGCCGACTCGTTCCAGCACCTGCCACCACCTGGACCGCTCCCATCGCCCGGATGCCCAGCCTTG